TGCGAATATTTTGCCATAAAAATAATTGGAGGCTGAGACCACATTCACCATGCCAATTCGAGTGCAAACATGTCCAGTTGATGGGGGCCGCACGTGAAGGAATCATTTAGGCCAGCAAAAACAATTGGCCGGGGACTGTGGGGTGACAGTAATATAGGGATACACGTAGGACTTTCCTAACTGTAGTAACCTTAACATACGGTACTGACACTGAATTTGGGTCATGATGAAGCTAGATAACGGATACAACCCGAAGGCACCAGAGCAGGGTCAGTCTGGTCGATGCAAATGTCAGAATGCCATAATCAGAAATTATCGGCCCGAGGAGGGCAGTGGGTCAAAAAGGGGTCTCGCGTTAAAATGATCATACATATAACCAGGACAAAAAGTGATGACAGTACCTCGGCTCCAAGGTAGTGATTCAGCATTCGGATAACTGAAGCGCCCTTCTGGTAGGAGACGGCGTCAAAGATCTCCTCCACCTCATGCGGGTGTTTGACTTCAACCTACGAAAAAGGACGAAGAGTAAAAAGAAGATCGGTGCGGCTTCAACTGATCGGAATATTGTGGACAGCTGTCTAGCACCAGGGCGGTGACTCGTTCGTCATAATCGTTGACTGTCATCTGTGTCAGAGTGCAGGCAAGAGATTAACTTGAGCCTGAACTGGACTGGAGTGGGAACGACGTTCGCAGCATCGATGTCGCTCATTCCACACAACTCCACTGTGATCCAGTGAAAATAGTACACTAAGACGACTGACCTGACATAGGGCTCCCGCCCAAGTGTGCCCGAGCACGGCCGGTTCCTCGCTGGTGACCAAAGCATACAACAGAAATGCGCTTTAACCGGGTGAAGAGATAGACCATAAAGCCTAATCTAGTTTCAGTTGCCGGTTATCAGGATGTTGCCGTTGCGCAGTAAGCCTTCGTGCAGCCATAGATGAAAGCTGGGTGCCGAGTTGGGTCGGAGTGGCGGGATCGCTTCGTGTGGCAAGGTCCATGGCGCGATTGCCGGCCCATCAAATTAGTCATCCCGCCCTGATCACTCCAAAAATAAGGCCAAATAAAACGCACTCGCCTTCCTGATCTCTACCATCAATTGGTGCGATTCCGCAAGAAGGTATTGACGGCCGAACGGTCACTCAGTATAGCACGCACGGCGAAAAATGCTGACAGCGTAGAAAGGAAACAAGAAAAATGCAATGAAGAAAACAAGCCGCTTAGGGGAAACTGTCGAGGGTTTAAAAAGTAGGCGAAATTCAGCCTTAGGAAAACAGGTTCAAATCTGGCCACTGCAATAGTACAGTAAGTGGCATGTCAGTATAAAAGAAGAGGGCAATTTAGGGATTCGAAGGCCCGGTTAGTAGTCGTCGGAGTAAATGCAGGCACGAGTCTTGTTCAGCCCTACTGACTCCACGAAATAACTTCGGTTGTCCAACGCATTAGCACGAGCTTTGGTTAACAAGCCCGAAGTGTTAATCCGCCTAGAAATACACCCAGCGCTTCAGAGGTCGGTGACAAGAACTTAATCATGAGTATGGCAGGTTTGCTGAAGGAAATCCCGACCACACGACCAGAATCTGGGAGGAGACTTTACACAAGATAACTGTCCGTTGGTAATTCGAGGTAGCCAGAAACACGCTGTGCAGATGCCTTGGATGTTTGCAAGCCAATAGTTCGATTAGCGTGCTCGCCGATACGGCTAAAGGCCTTATTTTGCAACAAAACGTGTGCAGCTACGAAGCAGACACTAAACAAAAAGGGTGGCTTACTTCGATCGGGTGACTCATCTTGAGTTCGTCCAGTTTGAGGGCGTGCGCGTACTCCTGGGACACGAAAAGCGTCTGCAAGGCAACAAAAAAACAAAGTGACGGATTACTTGACAGCATTTACCAAGAGCGTTTAAATGTCAATCATCTCAAGTGAGGGTTTGCGACCCAACTTGACCCGCAAAAGCAAAGAGGCAAACGGACTACTGTCCACTTTCAAGTTATGCTCTACAACGCCTACCGATTCAGCACAATCTCTCCTCAGGATTTTTAAGGTGCGAAAGGCGGATTCGGGGTTTCTTAGGGCGAAATGGTCAACAAACGGCGCTCAAAATTACAACCATGCAAAGTGAAAGCTCGAAGAACGCTACTTAACAACAGTTCGTTTTCTAATTTTGCGGCAAGATCAGTAAACAGTCCGAAGTGTACCGTTTTCTTTCAGGAGACATGAAAATTCTCAGCACTCAGGCTGGTAGTAATTTGCCATGAATTACTACGTTGGCCAGCAATTGGAGATTTTGCGTCCAGAAACACACAGTTGTCGTCCTTCACTCGTGACTAGTGTTATTCACTATATTGGTTCGGTTTCCCTGCAAGGTCTGTTGGCGGGAAATGGGAGTCACAATGAAGAAGGCAGTGGTAGAGGCGGGTCTGACGGCAGAAAGTGTGGTAGTTTCCATGGGCTGGGAAGAGAAACGGCCATTACCAGCACTGAACGAAAGTTAGTGATTCGCAAAGTTACACCGGAACGTCTTGCCTACTATGAGACTTCTGAAGCGGCTAGCGAGGAGGGTAAAAGTGAACCAGGAAAAGCACATGGTTAACTTGTGATCCAAAATCCGGAAAGGGGACATGTCCTAAAAGGCTTATCCTCAAAAAGCCTCCAAAAGTTGGGACTACTGGTTGTAAAATCTTACAAACAATGCGGAGTCGCTAAATGGCACTAAGGCAGGTTGACTTAGGGAAAAGAAGATTTTCTTTAACTGCGAAGGGATCGCATATTGGCAAATTAAAGGGCACACCAATCTCTTGATTCAGTGCCGAGGTGGCTCTGCAAAAATTCGAAAGACAACTGGTCCAGGAATACAAATCCAGCTTTTGGGCACACTACATTGATGACACCTTCGTCATCATCGACCAGGACAGAATTATTAACTACAAAGAACGACCGAACTCCATCCCCCCTGATCTGCAGTTCATAATGAAAGAGGAAGTGTAGAATGGACTTCTACTCCTGGGTGATCTCGTTTGGCGTCAGCTGGATGACAAGCTGGCTACGACAGTCTATAGAAAACGAACGAACAGGCTGCAATTGCTCAGTTACGACAGCAGCCACCCACTTCAACACAAATGAGGCTGTGTACGCAAGCTACACCGGGGGTGGAAGCTCACTGTAACATGCCAACGTCTAAACGGGACAAGAAGAGTCTTCTTCGAGAAGTCCTCGGAGCCAACGGCTATCCGCGAGACGTGTTGCAACAAGCTTAGCCCAACAAAGCCTCAAAGAAATGAGACTATTAATCCTGACAACGGACCGGAAACGGCTCCGTAATATAAATAATCATCGCGAAATTCCACAAACGACACGGACTCACCAATTGGCATTAAGACAGATTAGCTCAGAGAGGAGAACAGGAACTGGTGTTTGCATGATTTTGCCTAAGTTGGAGGTGGCCATAGCAGGTTGGATAAGGTGGTCACCGGCCACGATTCATGGCTGTTGGACAACCCATTCAAATCAACTTATGCCATTCTCTGAAGCCTAAGGCCTAAATCAAACACGAAATCTGAGGCTCGCAAATAGAGTCTGGACTTAAATGAGTGAAGTTGATTGCTTGCTAAGGAAGGAACTTTTGAGAAGAGGAGTGCTCAGGGAACACAAGTTCCTCGTTAACCTAGTTGTCGACTACCCGACGCGCCCGCAGATGGCGGAGACGAAGAAACAGTCGCAGACAAGCAGAGGAGGGCTGAGGTCTGGGGATCACAAAGTCCGGTGACGGTGCTGTGACATAGTGACCATTAAATTACCGCAGTCACTAGAGTCGAACAAAGGATCTAAGGGGCTGTTTAGGACTCGTGTGTACTCAACATTCCCAAGGAACCTCAACCTCAAGGAACGTTGAGGGAGAGAGAGAGAGAGAGAGAGAGAGAGAGAGAGAGAGAGCAAGAGGAGGAATCTGTAGCTAACAGGACGGTGACCTTCACACACATTCGTAAGACATCATACAGGGTCCGATCAACAATAAAATCTATTGATTATGATTTCGAAGAGTCTGTCTGACGTCTTTAGTGGACAATGACAAGAGAGTAACCTACCCAGATATCGTAATCGGGAAAACAGTAGTCAATGGCGAGATACTCGATCCAGGTAGCAAACCCCTCGTTCAGCCACAGATGTGTCCACCACTCCATTGTCACTAAATTGCCAAACCACATGTGAGCTAATTCGTGGGCCACAGTTAGAGCAACGCGCTGTTTGGACATCAGGGACGTGTGCTCATGGTCGATAAGCAATGCCGTTTCTCTGCAAAAAAGGTTGGGGTGAATTGGTTAAAACGTGCATGACTGCCAACAAAATATTACAGGGGGAAATTTTCGCAGCATCATTTATTATGATTAAGTGCACAAGCTTTCCGAACTTTTTTCATTGGCCTGACTGGACTTCCAGTAGTGTGGTGATCAACAGTTTAAACCGCCTAGGCCATGTGTATGCCTATGAGTTCATGATGGCGGCGCCCTATAGCGTCGATTCCGTTGAAGCGGGTATGATAACAAGTGAAATATGGCTTTCGAGTTTTGGTGGGCTAAATGCGGAAAATTTCCAATAAAGTCGACGCCTAAACTAGCCAGAAAACACACTCAAATAGTCACTAACAGGCAGCGTTTCGCTGTGTTGTACAAACAACACGTAGCAACAGACAGAACTGACCAAAAATGTGCCGGTGGAGATGAGTTAGAAGAAGGCGGTCCTCTGGCAAAGGTTTTTTTCGTCTGTTCATATACCAGCATAGAGGGAAAAATAAGTACTAAAAACGTAGTAAATAAATACAGCAGCAGTTCGCAATGATGTCTGGTTTCTACGCTTGGAATGAATTCGTCTACGGAAACTGCATCCGTTCGATTGAAATCAATTTTAAGACTAAAGCAAAATTTTAAATTTGGCAAATCAAACATGCTATTGCACCTGATTTTATGGCTATAAATACTGAAGCCAAAACAGAGATTAAAGCATAGAACCGTTGGCCTGATAGTAAAGTGTCAAATCGAACTTACCTGTATGTTATAAGACCCCAGTTCTCCATTGCACTACAAGCGAAGTCGGGGATTGCGATGAGGTCACATTTGGGCAGAGGAAATTTGTGGCCAAAAAGGCTAGCATAGAAAGGTAACGTTTTCACGCTAACTTCAAGAGCATATTCTCCGCACGCCTTTTTCCCCGGGGGCGTAAAGACGCGAATATCAACTCCATGAGCGTCCTTAGCGGAAACATAATCGAAATTTCCAACGACCATTGCCACCAGATATGTTGACATGTAGGGCGATCTGTCAAATTGTATTTTGACGTAATTGTGACCATCTGCAGGCTCAGGGCGGCCAGTGGGCGGAGGAATTATTGTTCTCGACACTTCAGGCTAAATAAGTGTGGGTGGAAAAGCTTGCGCAAGCTAGTACGGAGACTGAAAAACAACTCATATGTGAGAATAGCGAGATATGCTCAATTCTCCCCCATGGAAAATTCAAATATATGAACTACTTTCTGGAAGAAGCTAGGACATAGAGCATTCCAGGTGTTGGCTAGCAAAACAATGACTCTAAATTAGAGTAGCTGCTGAAGATCGTAGGCATGGAAACGGCAAAAGTCTAGATACCATATTCGACAATGCGGTTTCGTTGTCCATTGCAACAAGGCTGATATCAAATGTAGCCTTTCGATCCGGTTCATCCATACATGGAAAAGCCCGGCGAGCATAAACTGACTAAAGAAAAACGAGATTCTGGTTAGCTCAAATTGTGAAAACGTAATAAAAAGAAAGCTGTGTGTGGTTGGATGAGATTTGAGACTATACCGTGGAATACGTAAGTCTACAACCAAACGGACCTTAGATGACCGGCAAGAATTTACTAGAAGTCGGAGTCTAAAATGAAGTGTGATGGTTAAGCACCAACATACTGGTAAGTATTTTAGAAAATGGCACATTAAGCGGATGTGCCATACAAAGCGAAGTCGAATTAACCAAAAAACTTGACGTTTAGATGAAAATGTGAATAAAAATTATACAGTCCTCTGAATATATCGGACGTGCCCAAGCCTCAGGGGGGCAGAGCCTCCAAAATGCGCAAGAGAGTTAAATGACGAAAGTGATAGTAATAAACTGGTTGTAAATTAGACGATGCAATACCTAGTAAAACTGTGTCATGAAGAAACTGTATAGGGTACTTGAAAATAACGTTACCTGAAATTGGGTACACAGAATATAGCTCTCTTCTCCAGTTGGGGATTTGTAAGTGCTCCTATAAAAGCCCTGCATGTCGTCACTTAAATGGCCTCGAAATTTTAAGTTAAGATGGCCGTTGCCAGTCTAAAGTACATAGGGTAGAACTTGGTCATCGCACCTCCAGGGCACTGGGAAAGGTAAATGTAACAAGTTCTTGCGATTCATCATAGGAAATGTCGGCGTCAGCTTGGAGACAAAAAATAAGGTTAAACGAACGCTACCATTGTTGAAATGCGCATCCGAAACAACGATGTTCTTGGAGTTCAGTACTACCGAATTGGTTCGTTCCAAAATCTGAAAATGGAAACGAGATACTACACATAAAAAGCTAACGCAGGGGTCGTGCTCAAGTGCGTCAAATGCCAAACTCATTTGCAAGTAAGGGTCGCGCATAGCGAAAAAATTTGTGAACAAAAACAAACAGATAAGACCGCCTTGCGTAAAGTTCAGTGTTTTGAAATGGTACGGCTTAAACTTAAATGTGAGTAATGGGCGTTTTGGAAACCTATCAATGGACTTTAGTGGGTGCGTCCGAATTCGATTAGCTGACACAAAGGTGTCTTTGCCATAAGTCGGAAAAATAAAATTAACATCTATAGTTGTCCGTTTTAAGAAATTTTTTTAGCTGCATAGGTCTTGATCCGAGGAGAGCACTAATTCAACAGTTTTCTGACCTGCAACTCGATGGACGCCTCCCCATCAAATGTAAAGTCCGAAAGATTCGGCACAAATGAGAGATTGTAATTCACAGGTTTTATGTTGTAAGGCAATCGTTTAAAATCCTGGGAACTTGAGTGTGTCATAGCGCGGAGACACTGAAGCCGCAATGACGGCAAACGAAAACTAATAGTGGCTGACGCACAAACAACCTGCGCGCAGATAAATCGAAGCATTTAAAGTGACCGCCCGACATGAAGCCCATGGAAATTTTGTGATGTTCCCGAAATTAGCGGTAGTTACTTGAGAAAGAGTAAATCGTTGACAAATATCCGAATGAATATTTCTGGCAGAATAGTATCGTAACTGATTTTTATAGCAACTTAATTTCGGGAGAATAGAGGTTAGTCTTTGAGTTCCCTATTTAGAACGTAGAGTTGGGAACAGTGTAAAGAGAAACCAGACGGACTAGAATGTCGCACAAACTGTGTGGAGTTGTTTAAATGATGTGACACTTCCTGCGCCGACCTAGGATTATGATGGTGTAAATGCGCGTCGGTAAAATGGCCGTGCTCTTCGTTCTCTCTACCGCTGACCCCTTCCCACACTTCACCGTAACGCTCACTTCTTCCCCCTCTCTTTCTCTCTTTACGTTGACACTTCCGTCAACCCTGCCCTGCAGTTTCCTACATCGCTGAGTTCACCAACGGCTGTTTAGCAGGCATTCTAGTGTCGCCTAACTATTCAGACAGTTCACTTCCTTGCTGTAACATAATTGTATCCCCAAATTCCATCTCTTCCCGGTATGCCATTATGCCTACCTATGTTTGCTCCTCCCTTTCACGTGGATGAGTATTTTGACGTTTTAACGAGTCTATTCAGATCGGTCTTAGCCGGGATCTATTCCCAGTGCATCGTTTATGGTATTCTTGACGCCCTTGGCTGTTACAAGACCAAATCAGTTCAAAATAGACTATTAAAGTATGACAATTTTTGTCCGAGTTCCGAGGGCTAAATTCACCCTGCCATCGCTTCGGTTCCTTTCAAAGTTTTCCATTGCTGGTTATATCCTAGAATCTGCAAGCACAGCATTCCGCGATTTGACGACCCTGACATAAAAAGAGAACTGTCGCGCATCCAGCCTTACCTACTCTACGCGCACTTGCAAAAACCCAAAGGAGGCAGAGTTGGCGTTGTTAGGCGGGTTTTGTAGGGCGAGGGGCTTTGACGCCCAAACAACTTGATGGTCCTCCTTTGGGCTCTTTCAAATCTATTTTACTCCTCGACTGCCCTCAGCGTCCAGGCTTGTGTAGTGCATTCTTAATGTGGTCTCAAAAATGTTTCGAAAACTTTGGAGATAGGGTCTTCTTAAGAATGCATAAGCTGTTTCTTGATAACATGCAACATTTTCAGTACTTTTGCTGTCACTCTCAAGCAGTGGGCGGTCAAACTAACTAGTTCATCAGCAGCAAATCTAGACTTATTTGTGCTGCTGCATCTTGCAAAACTATGACGCCGAGAAAGCAGTTTCGTGTACTAACAAATCTGGCTGGACTGTCCGGGAGAACTATGGTGCAGTTGCCCACGAGAAACAGCAGAAGCCAATGATTTGAACAAACTTTGGGCCGATTTAGATTGACGGCGGACAGCACTGAAATTACGTCCTTTGTCACTCTCTAGCAAGAAGGAAATGGTTTTAGGGAGTTCACTATCAGCGCACTGGGGTCCCTTTGTGCATTCGCGTCTCGTAAACCTGTATCGTCGTTAAGGTAGCTTTTGTGTTGGCAGACCTGTCTAGGTTGGCTAGGCAAAGTAGGCTGCACTTACCGACGTTGAACGACATAAGTTAACGACCCAACCTAATCGACCGATCTAGGTTCATCTACAGTCTATATTCGTCAGCAGGGTCTTAGATCTGATTCGAAATCTTCGTGTCGTCAGCACGCATTGCTGCTTCGCAGTCCAAGTCTCTTGCCCAATCGTCCACATATACCGGAAAATAGGCCGCAATCCTGAATACTGGTCGGAGTCGAAGTAACGTCCAAGGATTTCAGGTGCTGAGGATGTAAATACACGTTTAAATGGCTGCCTTTTAAACTCATTTTTTATTGTCGGCTGACACCCACACGAGGTCCTCCTTATGGTCCGTTGAAAATGGGCATTTTTGTGCAGTATTTACCACGAACTTCCTGATGCTTGGGCGCTAACCTGGAGTAGATAAATCTATTTGAGTCTTATAGGCTCATACTGAATATTGATATGGATATCTGGGCAGAAGTCCATTAGCCACGGCGAAATGACCGCGTAATGTTCACAACCTGTCAACAGGCAACCAGTAGTATATTTATAAGCAGCACGATATACCAAAAACGAACTGACAGTTGATTCAAGGCTCACACCAGGCATATGAAAAAGAATAGTTGCATAATGTGTGGGGAATGGGGCAAGACCTGAAGGTAGGAATTCGAATGGTTTGGTAGTACGATACTCAGTGGTCGTCATTTGGATGTCATTCGCAAGTCACGTCCTACATGTCGGGTGAAACTTAAGATCTTATAGAGTCGTTTAAAATGCCCGCATATTTTGTGTGGCTCACATTGGGCTTTGAAACAGTCAGACGAGGACGGTTAATACCAGGGCTTGTAACCTGCTGAGCATGATGTTTGAACTCCCCAGCAAAGAATAAAAGTGGTGCCTTCCTCAGGACCCTTACATTGGTATCCACCGTCCAACTTTTCATATTTACAAATTCCTCTCTGTCATTAATCTAGTGAGAAAACTTCGAGCAAAGCACAACAGCTACAGTGCGCATGGCTGTTAAATGCCATATGAACAGACAAGACTTGGGAGGAACTCCCAAGTGGCTGTACTCTCGGCAGGTCATGTCTATACGGTGCAGAAGCTTTCCACCAATACCTAATCAGCTCCAGCATTTGACTCATCCGTGCCCCTCAAAACATTATAAACGCCTCTTTTTATGGCAGCAACTATTCCTAAAAACCGTTTACACCGACCGGTTAACTTCGTATCTTCAGTGATCCCCTTGAAGACATTCTGGAGGTAAATAATTTGGAATACTTCCCCAGTCGTATAGATATTTTCGGTGACACCTTTAATTTGACGACAAAGCAATGAGGCCACTTGCAGTTTACAACATCGGTTGTTCCGAAAATCGTTGGTATGCGTTCCCATCATGACCGAGCACTTCCACCCATAAATAAAATCAAGCTAATGGTCGGCGCCACCATCTTGCAACCAAGCGTGTTAGTCCTGCAAACGCCTGCTGGGTATTATAATCTGAGTGGTTCCTGTTTTCATCTTTAGGGAGCATATAAGTTATCGAAATTTATGCCAGGAGTAACTTCGAGACACGATCAAGCATTTCCTGTGTCGTTTCTCTAGAGAAAACAGCGTTTGAATTTGCGATGGCGAATGAGCGATGTTCTTCAATGAAGACTTTCTCGGTTGGGTATCTCTGACAAACGTTCAGAAGTGCCTCATACATTTATGTCTCTGCTATTCTATTAAACTGTCTTATCATCGTCTATTTGCTGTCATCCACCCATTCGTACCCGCTCGTGTACCAAAGATCGGGGACGTATTATTTGTATCCCTAACTTTTTCGCCACTGGCGTTTTGGAGAGTTATGTTATGTTATCTCGAAGTCCACATTTGGGGTTTCTTGGCGACACACTGTTATAAAGTTGCAAACGTCCATTTTTGTGCGCCATCGGGGCAATTTTCGACAGCTTTTCCAGTTCACAGACACTTACAGTCACACATATATCCCTCAGTTCCTACCATCGCCAATAGTGGCACATCTCGAGTCCCACTAACTATTTGAATATTTAACACGCTTACAAAGTGCTCGACCCAAATCTACAGAATCTGCGGTTTGTTACCAGAAGTCTTGTTCCATCGGAGCTGAGAAGAGGCGCTGTTCCCTCGGTTGTGGGACCAAACACCGTCCTGATTAGTGTAAGGAGGTTCTTTGTTTCATTAAGGGCAGTATCCTCTTGGTTTTCCTCGGTCTAGCTAATCATCCATGCATTCTGCATTTCCTTCAGTTCTTACCGCACGAGGCGGAGACACTCGAAGAATTCCGCTTTGCTTGAGTCGGTCTGATGATCAATTTAAACATTTTGCTGCCTGTGATTTTCAGCGAGCACGTTCAAGTTGTTTCGTGCAACGTTGTAGTCAAAACAGTCCTGACGCTTTTGACGTGAGCGACCAAAGACATCCAAGGCATCCCGCAGCTGACACCACGGAGTCTTCGTGGTGGCGTCATCGCCCTGACCCGCAGTTCTTCTGGATGCCAGGCTAATCGATCGCTGAAATATAATTCGACTGAACAGTATTTAAATTACCGGTGATCTTTTGCGGGTCGTAGTCGAAGGTTCGCCTTAATAATTAGACTGTGGTCCTTCCAGTAATCGGCGACACACAGAATCTAAGCTATAAGCAAGTCCTGTCTATCTTACCTCAAGACGACAACACTGTCCAGCAGCTACCAGCGCCGCGTTCGGAGACGAATGCAGATCAACTTCATCCAAGTCAGTAGGCGGAAAAAGATGTTGACCGGGAGGAAACTGTGTTCTGCACAGGTTTGCAGGAGAGCGGGTTGTTGTCGTTGAAGTCGGCGATCTCATGGAGACTCGACACTCTCCAGGCAGCGTAGCCTGTTCCGACGCGAGCACTGGAGTCACCAAAGACAATCAGCCCGTCTCATTCAGGAAGGTCGCCAAAAGGAGGTGCAGGCCTCATAGAATTCGTTCTTCGTCTTGTTAGAGTTGGTAGTTGTGAGGTATAGATACTGATGAGGGCGGCAAATTTGGCTCCCCTCTGAGGCAAGTGCAGACTCAAGGAACGGTTGCTGAGACCTGCAGCAGATACGACAGCTGTCCATTTTATCATTCCGGATGGTAAAGACGACGTCAGTTTTAGGTCGCACTGTCCTTCTATGCCGGTCCAAAAGAAGGTGTAGGCGGTGTCCACCTCTTCCAATTGACCTTATTTGGAGAAGCAGGCCCCAGTGAGAGCCGCAGTGTACACCTTATGGTGTGCTACGTCGCGAGCAACTAGCAATGGTATCCTTTCCCTTTGCTAAATTCTCGGATTCTCTACGAGGGAAAGAGAATTCCTGGCT